CGTTCCTGTTTTCTTGAGGCCAAAGACAGTCCAACAAAGTGGAGGTTCCAGCTGGCTTCCTGGGAATGGAAGGGGGCTCCCAGGTAATACTGGGTGTCATGGCAGGGCTCCAGGACCAGGCTAGGGGCCTGGAAGGGGTCAGCTGGGGCTCTCACCCTGACAGTCCCTGCCCCTCAGCGAACAACCGAGACTCTCATTATTTGGCACATGAAACAGAATAAGCGTTATGCAAAAGAGGCAACTCCATGGCCAACCACATCCTGTGGCTGGCTTGGGGGCGGTAATAGCTGGAGCCCCAAGAGAAGTAGAAAGGGAGGTAGGGTAGCTGGCGGGCACGGAGGCTGTCTGGGAGTGAGGCGGGGGGCTCCCAGGGCTAAAGGTCTCTGTAAACTGCAGGTGAGGCAAAGTCCAGCCGGAAGGCAGGGCTCATCCCCACCAGGTGGGGCCTCCCTGCCATCTGCCGGCCTGCTTATAATAAAAGTTAACATTTACTGAGAGCTGTGAGGCAGGCCCTGATCTCCATGCTCAATACTGAATCACCAGCAAGTCTCTGAGGAGGGTACTATCATTAAAGGGCCCTGGCCCACCCCACTTTTTTTTTTGCTGTGCTGCGTGTCATGTGGGGTCTTAGTTGACCGACCAGGGATTGAACCCGAGCCCCCTGCATTGGAAGTGCACAGTCCTAACCACTGGACCACCAGGGAAGTCCCACTTGCTCTTTTATTCAGGTGTGGAAACTGGTCCACAGAGGGCAACCAGTTGCCAGCATCACACAGTAGCAGCGGTCCAACTGAAATGCAGACCCAGAGGCTGTGCTCACAGCCACCACGGGTGTTGATGCTACGACAGTACAGAGACAAGTGCCAACCCTGACAGCAGGCCCGGAGCGGGGATGGGTGGGTACCAAGCACCTGCTGGAGGCCAGGTACGTGGCACACCTCCTTGCTTCATCCTTACAAGGCTCTGAGACTCATCGAAGGTCCCCTGGCTACTGGTAAGAGGCAGAACTTGAACCCACATCTGGGGGTACTGGATTGCCCCTAACAGAAGAGCTGGGGTTTATTTAGGAAAGAGAAAAAAGCTCCCGAAGTTGAGTGTGAACAAACTGTTCAGAGGGTGGGGCAGGCTGGGAACAGGGAAAACCATGCACCTGGCAAACTCCTCTCCTCTGTCAGGACCCAGGTGAGGTGTCACTGCCTCTGAGAGGCCTTCCCTGACCTGGCAGGATGGGTCAGGTCCCAGGTCTGTCTTCGCAATGCCCAGTGCTTCCCCCTGCCCTAGGCCTTCTGTCTCCCCAGAAATGTGGGGATGGGATCATCTCTGCCTTGGATCCCTGTCTCAGGTACGCAGCCTGCACATGCATTTACCTGCCTCCTTCTATACACACGTGTGTACCTGCATATGCCCCATCCCAGGCCAGCACCTGCAAGCCCTGGGACTTCATGGGACACCGGGGCTTCCAGGACAGTGTACTGCTTCTGGGCATCAGAAACCCTGGCTGGGGACAAGTCTGCTCTCAGCCGCCCTAGCCCCCAGAATATCCCTTAAGCAGGTGGTCACAGCCTTAGTCTTGGGAGAAGTAGAACACATGTTCCAGTCCCTTGAGTCAAGCCCAGATCCTGCCCTCCCAAGCCAGGAGTGCCTCTCTACAGCTAACTTTAGGCCCCCTTCGCTGCTGTGGAGGAAGCTGTGCTGGCACGGGAAAACCAGACATCCTCCCATCCCACACCACAGTCCTGTCGGCCCAGAAGGTCAGGGCCCCTCAGCCTGTCTAACGAGACTCCGGTAAGATGTGCGATTCCGTAGGAGACTCCAGCTCAGCGGCTCCCGCCCTAGGGCACAGGGCAGGGCCAAAAGGCAGGCTACCCAGGTGAAAAGATCTGCCTGGGCCGGGCCCAGCTAGTGGAGAAAAATTCCCTTAGAAGGAAACAGAGGTGAATTTCCCCACGATTTGCATATGGCAGGGGCTGGCCCGCCAGCCCTGGGCGGGAGGGGGCAGGAGGGCAGGAACCCTGCAGCAGCTGAGACAGGAAGTTTGAGGCTGGAATTCCCCTCCTGCTACTGCCCCAGCTCAGAAAGCCCCTGCGGCTCGGCCTCTGGCCACCCACTGCATCACCTGCCCCTCCTCCCGCCCAGGCCCCTCCTCCTTCTGCCGGGACACAAACACACACAGCACATGGCTGCCCCCGGGGCTCGGCGCTCCTGGCCCAGCCCCTGGAGGAGGGAGCCACTGACTGATCCCAGCCAAACACTGCTGAGAGGGATCCCCTAACTCTCAAAGCACACATCGGGACCGGCGGCCGCTGGCCTGTGCATGCCAGCTTTCCTCAATTTCCACCTAGGCTCAGTCCATTTCAGAGATGGGAAGACTGACTGACCCAAAAGTGGCTGGAAGAGGGCCACCTGTACACCTGCTGAGCTGGGCCAGGACCAGCCAGACAGCTGAGCTGGGCCAGCTGGGCCAGGTGTGGGAGGGGCAGAGGGGGCAAAGGCCTAGAGGCCTTAGGCAGCCCACCTGAGAGACCTCAGGGAAGCCAGGGGAGGAGCCCTTCCCACTCCACACCTGTGTATGGGATCTCCCCATCCACACCCACAGGAACCTTTCCTTGTGAACCATCCACCCAACCCTGACTCACCAGCCTGCCTTGAAAGGACTGGGAGAAAGCAGGGCCAGAGGGCAGGGCCTGGATGGAAGGGAAGTCTGGGCTCCCTGGGGTCCGCGGCAGCCCTCCCGCCACCCCTCCCCTCCCCCCCCAACCCCCCGAGCCTGCGTAGGGGAGAGGTGGGATGGTTATGGGGCTGAGTCCTGGCTCTGGCCCCTGGGGAGCCCTCAGAGCCCAGGCCAGCACAGGTGGCTCCAGCAGAAGTGACCCAAGTCACTGCTCCCCTGGAGTCAAAGGATCAAGCTACCCACCACACCCCTGACGTAGAGCCAGATCCTCAAGGTTACTCTTGGTCACAGCTGCAAAGGCCTCCGTAGCTGGGCTCGCTTCCATGGGAGCCCAGGTCTGGGACAAGGCCTCAGCAGTCCCAGACTCTGAATAATAGTAACAATAACAACAACTACTACTGATTAATGAGCCCTTACTTCTCTCCAGGTTCTGTGCATTCACTCCTCACAACCACCACTTGAGGGGGTGGGTTATCCCCATCTCATGGAGGAGGAAAGAAGGCTCCTATGTAGTAAGCTGGAGCCCACAGTCTGATCCCTCTTGAAGAGCATAAGGTAGCTCTGGAGACAGAAGGACCTGAGTTCGAATCTTTGCTCCGGCACTTACCAGTCGTGTGACCCTGAGCAACACTTTGAGCTCCCTCAAACATCCCGAAAACCCACTTCCAAGAAGCCATGAGGATTAAGGGAGCCTCCTGGCACACAGTAGGGCCTCTATAAAGGGCTTTCCCTTCCTCTAGTCCAGTCTGGAGAAGAGGTCAAACTCCTTTCTGAAATCCTCTCTACCAGAGGTGCAGAGACACACGGCCACAGTCTTGGCCACAGAAGTGACATGTACCTCATGGCCACGTTGCTCCCATCGATGACCACAGGCCTCAGGTCACTGCCCTCCTTGTCCTCCTCGGGGGGAGAGGGCTCCAGGATGGGGGCCTTGGGGTTGCCCCCGCCCCGGGGGACCAGAGGCAGCTGAGGGCAAGGGTCCGGCGATGCCTGGCGCTCCCGCTCGGCCGCTGACCCATGTTTTACCAGCTCGCCCAGCACAGTGTTGGTGTCTGCCTGGACCCCCAGCTTCTGCAGGACACTGTGGATCTCAGCAGATGAGTAGCCCAGCTTCCGGAAGAAGTCAACCTTCATCTGCAGCTCTGCAGTCCTTGCCTCCTCAGCCGTGGACTCCTGGGCCGGCCTGGGGGTCCCTCGGCAGCTGTGGCCGTCTTCAAGCTCCCACAGACTCATGGTGAGGTGGCTTCCTGGGTGGGCCTCTCTCTCCACCGGCCACTCACAGCTCAGACTGGTGGAAGGCACTTGTCACAGCTCCTGTATGACAACCATGAGGGTTAGGGATGCGGAATGGCTCTCTCTCTCTCACCCCTCTCCTGACCCCGCCCCATCCAACAGGATGAGACCACACAGACTGGTGGCAGTATGCAAAATGCAAAGCCATCTTCCGTGTTGCCTCTGTTATCCTCTCAAAAGCCTTCCCAGCTAGGGAGCATCATTCCCATAATACAAAGGAGGAAACTGAGCCACAGACGTTACGAACTTGCTCTAGGTCATCCAGCTGTTAGCTGATGGCGCAAAGACTTGAACTTAGGCAGTCTGACCCCTCCTCCCACCCCAACCCCAGCCCCCCGCCAACCCAGGGGACCCAGAAGTCTTGGGAGGCCTCCGAGGACCTCGACGCGCCCCGACAGCTGCGGGGCGGGGCTCTCAGATGGAAACCCACTGGGTTGGAACTGCGTTGTGGGGGGGCTTCCCCCTTGAAGCCATCGCCTCCTCCCGCCCGCCTGCCCAATGCTCGGAGCCCAGGCCAGGAGGCGCGGGGCCCGTGGCCGGACTCCCGGACCGGGGGAGGGGAAGTTTCCGGGGTGACCCACCAGAGAGAAAAGTTGCTGGGAAACTCTGGTTGGCCTCCGGGCTCGGTGACGCTTAGGGTGTCCCGGCCCAGAGCCTCGCGAGCGCTGTCTTCCTCCTCCGGACCTCGGTCTCCCTACCCCCAAGATCCTCTGACTTGGACTAAGTTGGGAGGATCCTGGGGGTAGGGGAGGCCGGAGCCGACCGGCCCCACGTCCCTCCCGCTCAGGTCAGTCCCAGCCACAGCCCTTCCCATCCGCTCCTCCGCCCTCCCCCTAAGCCCGCACTGGCGCCCCATCCCCGTCGCGCGCGCCTCACCCTGCCGTGCGCCAGCCGCGGCCGGCGGCATCTCCATGGGGCCGAGTCCCGGGGGCAAGGCCGGCGGCGCTTTTATACGGGGCGGGTGGGCGGCACTCGGGACCATGACGCGGAAGCCGGGCGGGCGGGGGAGAGCCGGCCCGGGCGGCAGGGGGCGGAGCGGCCATCGCCCCTTCCTGCTCCTCCCCCTCCCCGCCCCCTCCCCGCCCCATCCCTCCCCACACAGCCCAGGCCTCAGGCCCCGCCCCCGCGGCCCGAGAGCGCCAGGCCTGGCCGGGAATCCGGGCTGGAGCCGCGGGGAGCTGCCTCTTCCGTGAGCCTCTAGCCTCCCGCGGCGAGGAGATCTGCAGGGCAGGAGTGCACGGCCCGCAGGCGTAAGGTAAGCCCAGGCTGAACCAAGTATGCGCACCGAGTTAGGCTCGGGCAGACCTAGTGTACGGCGATACAGGCACAGGTACAGCCGCGTACTTTCAGACCTAAGTACGCGGAAGGTACAGTACGGGACACAGGCGTTGGTCCACACACACGGTTGGAGGCAGAGCCATAGTTATCAAGACAGTACACCCAGGCAGGCACTTTTCGCATTGAGACAGGAATACTCAACAGGTACACCGTGATTGGAGCAGGTACACAGAGCTGGGGCCCCATCCAGGGACAGGTACAATTTTTTCTGAAATAAGGACCTTGACAGGATAGAAGGGCAGGTACAACCTGCCTTGTCCCAGCTGGAAAGACTTGCAACCAGGACCAGGAGCTCCCATTCCAGGGCCCCAGGTGCCACCTTTGTCACTTTTGAAACCACCAATGATCCCACCTAGCCAAGCCCCTGCTTTGTTGTCTGGTCATCTTTAAAGACCCCCAAATACCTCTTCTTCTGCGTCTTCCAGGCACAGGACCCCCAGGGGCTGGCCTCCAGGAGAGGGGGAAAACGAGGCTCCTTCCGTGTGCCAGCACACGTGCTCACCACTACTCCTGCCCAGTGCTGTGTGTACTGTAGACATAATCTTCAGAACAGACCCTTTTATAGTTGGGAAAAATTCAGTGAAAAGTGCAGTATATTTAGACATTCATTCATTGTATTAACTACCTTTACGGTAGTAAAAATATTAAGTAATGAGTCCAGGTTAATAAACATAATGATGATAAGTCAACCACAGTGATAATACCTCGCATTTATGGAGTACTCGCTGGGCAGCAGGCACTGTGTCAGCGCCTTGCAGACACTTCCGTGCCTTTGCATCTCCTATCTCAGCCCCGGGAGTGCCCTCCCCTTCTTCCCTCCCTACTGCTGCCTGGCCAATTCTATTCCTCTTTTTTTTTTTTTTTTTGCGGTACGCGGGCCTCTCACTTGTGGCCTCTCCCGTTGCAGAGCACAGGCTCCGGGCGCAGGCTCAGCGGCCATGGCTCACGGGCCCAGCCGCTCCGCAGCATGTGGGATCTTCCCGGACTGGGGCACGAACCCGTGTCCCCTGCATCGGCAGGCGGACTCTCAACCACTGCGCCACCAGGGAAGCCCCCTATTCCTCTTTTTGATGTTGTCACCTCCTCTGTGAGGCCTGCCCAGACTCCTTTGGTGCTGAGTTGCTTCCTCCTCGGTGCTCCCACAGCCCCCTGTCTATGTCCCTATGTGCCGGATTGTGATTGCCAGCCTGGACCGCCTCCTGGGCCAGGACGGGCTGGGACTCCGCCCGTACTCCCAGACCCTGTGCTGCGCAGCACTGTGCCAGAGGGAGCCAGCAGGACTGGGCAATGAGTCATGCAGCTCCGTGTCCTCCCAGAGTGAGCCGCAGTCTCGCTCTCTTCCGGCTCATGAAGACGGCTCTTTCCCGAGAAGCTGACTCTTTTCTGCAGAACCCAGGACTGCTCCGGGGAAACCCTTCTCCACTTCTAGCTGGATTTTGGAAACTTTGGCCCGAATCCGCAGGAGCCCTCTGGATCTAATGTGCTCAGCCCACCCGCTCCACCCACCCCCCCCCCCCCCCGCTTCCCTTGAACGCCCGTGTCAGTGGCTGGGCTTGCCAACTTCCTTCTGGAGCCTTCCTGCTCTCCTGCCACCTGCTTGCACCTGGCTAGCCTGAGTGGGGTCTGCAGAGCTCCGGGACTGGTTGCCCCCTGGGCGGGGCGGGGTGGGGGGCGGCGAGGAGAGGCTGGAGAGAGAAAGGTCCCAGGAATTACCTAGGATATCGGTAGCTCCACCAGGCAGCTCAAACTGGGAAGGACACAGGAGCTAGGTCACCACTGTAGGAAGCGTGGGCAGGCTGCCCCCAAGCCTTAGCAGTGTGGCCGCAGAGGTTCAGTTCCACAAGCCCTCCTGGAAATGGAGAAAGGGCCAGATCCCCCCCATGTTTTGAGGCTCCTAATATATTTTAAAAAGTCTTGTCGGACTTCCCTGGCAGTCTAGAGGTTAAGACTCTGTGCTTCCACTGCAGGGGGCGTGGTTTCAATCCCTGGTCAGGGAACTAAGGTCCCACATGTCACATGGCATGGCCAAAAAAAAAAAAAAAGACTTGTCACACTAGGAGCTATAAAAATTGAAGTATGTTTTAAAATTCAGTTGAACAAATGAACTGTTTCATCATGTATTCAAATGCAGTGCAGTACATTTGGACTATTGACAAGATAATTGGAGGGTTTGTTTTAAAAATATATTACTTCCTCGGAGAAACGGCTGATTCTAGGGCTGGGACAGGGAAAAATGTGAGCTTGGAGTGTCTCGTGGTGCCAGAGTTAGGAAGTGCCCCAAACTCAAAAGGGTAGGAGTGTGTCAAAGCGACTCGGTAGCCAAAAGCTCCCAGTGTCCAAAGCGGCAACAATTAGAGCAATAAAATGGATAATGGAGTATTAGATAGTAGCCCAAAGTATAAAATCCATATCCCTGAGTTGGTACTGGTAGAAATAAATTGTTGAATAAATAACTAGCTGGGTGGGGCCGGGGTAGAGACAAATCTTACAAATAACACATGTAGGTTCTCCCTTCTCCAGGCTAATTATCCTCTCCTCTTCCTTTGAATGTGCCCCGGGCTTAGTGACTTGCTTCTAAATAACAGAGTAGGGAAAGAGAACAATAGGAAGTGTATGGTGGAGACACCTGGCAGACACCACCTTGACCGAGTGATCAAGGTTACCACCACCCCATGACAAGTCAAGTGGCATCATGTGCCCCCAACACTATGTGATGAGGAAGGTACCTCATCCCTGTGGTATTCTTCCCCAAACCCGTAACCCCAGAGAAAAGCCTCAGACAAACTCCCATGGAAGGACATTCTACAAAATACTTGATCAGGACTCCTCAAAACTGAAAGGGTCACGAAAAGCACGGAAAGACAGAAGCAGACCAGAGGACACGAAGAGACACGCCGGGTGGATGCAGTATAGTTGCTGGTTGGATCCTGGAACAGAGAGATCATTAATGGAAAAGCTGGTAAAATCCAAATAAGGTCTGGATTTTAGTTCATAGAGATGTACCGGTTTTTTTTTTTTTTTGCTTTGACAAACGTACCACAGTGGTATGAGTTGATCACATTAGGGGAAACTGAAACTAGGTGAGGGGTATGCGGGAACTCTCTGTACTATCTTTACAACTCTTTTGTAAATTGAAAATTAATTCCAAAATTAAAAAGTTTATTGAAAAAATATGTATATAATTTCATGGGCCTTGTGTAAGGTCAGATGGCTTTGTTCATTTCTATTGGTATATATCTATATATCCTATATATCTATGTATCTCTATCTATAGCTATATATATCCTTTTGGTCTGTGAGGTCCTGGCCAGATGGCCCCCCCTCTTACCCCAGTTCAGCCACCCCTGCTCCCTGTTCTTTGCTGACCCTTGAATGTTCACATTCTGGACTGTTAGAGCTGGAAAGCCCCACAGAGACGGATTATCTCAGAACCTTTATTTAAAAAAAAGATTTTTTTTTTTTTTTTTTTGCGGTACGCAGGCCTCTCACTGTTGTGGCCTCTCCCGTTGCGGAGCACAGGCTCTGGACGCGCAGGCTCAGCAGCCATGGCTCACGGGCCCAGCCGCTCTGCGGGACGTGGGATCTTTCCGGACCGGGGCACGAACCCGTGTCCCCTACATCGGCAGGCAGACTCTCAACCACTGCGCCACCAGGGAAGCCCACCAGAACCTTTATTTTATAGATGGAGAGGCAGAGCAGGAAAGGGACTTGCCTCTGGCCACATGGCAAGTTAATATTGGAAAAGCTGAGAACGGGACTAGCCAGGCTTTCTCCATCCCAGGCATCCCTGGTCCCATTTGCCAGAGACAGGGAGATCAGACCCACACAGGTGCTCAGAAATACTGGTGACTTACTTGAGGACCTGATAAGGGCAACGCCTTACTCAAAGGAGCAGTAGAATCTCCGGTGTCTGTTAGAGAGAGCAGTGGCAGGGGACCCTTTTGGCCTCACTGTGTGCTTGCTTAACCAGTGAATCCCACCTGGTTTTGAAGGAAGAGGCGGGGTCTGAAGACAGGCAAAAGGGTGAGTTGGCTTTTGTCCCCCTACCCCCACTCCCACTCCTCCCCAGCCCCAAAGCCACTGCACTGAAGGGGCCAGAGAGAATCCTGCAAGGCCCTGATGGTGTGCAGAACCTTGGGTCCCCAGTCCTGGGGTTGAACACTTCCCAATCTGTACTGGGGGTGCACAAGTTTGGTGAGATCCTTGAAGCTACCAGAGATAGCTTCCCTCGGGCCAGGAGAGTGCAGGCTGGGCTGAAGTGGTCCTGCTGCTGGTCGTGCTGGGGTGGACATTCATGCCCTCTGGCCCGAGATGGGGAGGGGCCTGCCACTGTCCCGCTGCTGCCCGCCTCACTGTGTTTCCACACTGAACTGTAATGGTCTGGGGTACCACTGCCTCCCCACCTCACTGTGACTCCTTGAAGACGGGTCGCTGGGACATGACCTGGCACAGATGTTGGTAAATCTGTGGTGAGTCAGTGAACGAGACAGCCGGGGTTCCAGGTATGTTTTGCTGTGGATATGTCTGTTGCTTCCTCTTTGCCAAATCCAGCTCACAGATGTCCTCTTGTATCTGAAAAGGGCAGGCGTAGGCCTGGGAACTGCGGAGTCTGAGGTTCACCTGGGCCTCCAGCTGAGCCATGTCTGAAAGGCTGGGTGGGAGTAGAGAACTAGAAGCTTCATGGGTGAACTTGCATCTGGGCCGAGTCTAACCACAGCTGGGCTGACGTCGACTCACGTGGTCAGTGTGGCCATCCACAGATGAGGCTGTCGTTGAGACCAGTTCACAAGATCCTGGAGGTCACTAATGTGCAGCTCACATGCTGGCCAGAAGTTCTGATGGATATCAGATATCCATCAGAGATATCACTGGTTGATAAACACACCACAGGAAACTTGCTGGTGTCTCCCCAGCACCCTTCGTCCAATTCCCCCTTCCTAATAGTGCTGGGAATTTCCCAGCCATGTGATCTGGTCAGAAATGACCCCATTACAGCAGTGGGGGCTAACTGGCTTAAGCTAATCAATACATCTTATCCTTCAGGTTTGGTAATTGGTCAGGAAAAGGTAATGAGTCTCAATTCTGTGTCTTTTCTTTATGTTGACCGGGCAGCAATATCTCTGTTTCTTGCCAATCACAAGGGAGAAAAGCAAGGAGTCCCAAGAGTTTCTGGAAGCCACCTTGTGACACTTCAGAGGAGGTAGAGCCAAGAGACTAGAAGGACATTGGTCCTCGGTAACAGCTGCTGGATCGAGCCTTGCCTGAAGCTATTCCTAGTTCTAGACTCTGCCTATGTAAGCCCATAAATTCTGTCACTCACAACCAAAAATATCCTTTATAATGATAACAATAATTACTTAATATTTCTTAATTATACAATAATTACCTAAATACAGCTTAGGGGATAAAATCTTACAAAATGTGAGGTCTGTGGGGTGGTTTGGAAATAATAAAATAGACTCTTAGTGGTGAAAAGGTCAGCAAACTGCTGATCTAATTCAAGCTTTGCCATTTGGCACACGGTAAAACGAAGGCCCGGGGAGGTCATGAGATTTGCTTGAGGTTTTATAGCTGCTCGGAGCCTCCTGACAAATTCTTGATGTTTAATGATAATAATAGGAATGCTTGAATTTCTATGCATTCCCTGTGAAATCACAGCTTTGTGTTTTTCTGTCTTCTTTTGTGTGTTTTTCCAAGAGACAGAGAAAGAATGGCAATAATCCTCTTCATTTTGCAAACAGCGAGGCAGAAGCCCAGAAAGGCTTACAGGTTTGCCAAGATCACACCGAAAGGCAGTGGTAGAGCTGGTCCCGGAGGCCAAATGTCCTGAACGTCATTTCAGGTTCAGCTGCCTCCACCTCTCCTCTTGCGCTAGCCACCTCTGCCTCCTTTCGGGTAGGAATAAAATGAAGGGTATGGTGGGGTCCCTTCTTCTGGCCTTGCTTCTCAGCTGCTAAGTGATCAAAGAGGACTTTGAGTTGTACAGGCCAAGGAGATGATTGTAGGCCCTGGCAGATGGTCCTCCCGCCACCAACCTTAGGAAAACCAAGGCTGTAAGGCTCAGAGAAAACTCAGGATATTTCTGTTGCCAGTGCCCCCACAAGGGAGGTCAACCTGGAGAGATGGGAGGCTATATGCATGAGATTCTGGCCTCCCAATCTATGTGACCCCACCTCTGACACCTACCCTCTCCTCCCCAGAAGCCTTCCACGACCCCCAACATTTTCAGTAGGCACGGGATTGATATGCCCGGTTGCACAGGCAGTGCACTGCACAATTTGGATTATGATCTCAATGGCGCCCCCTGGAGTTGTAGAGTTCGCAGCTTGCACAAACATACAGGATGAGCCCAGGTTGTATTTCTCAACACGTTTGAACACTCCAATTGTTTTCACAGAGATCAATGACCTCACAAACCCTTTTTCGAATAAATGAGATAATTTCTTTTTTTTGCAAGGTAGGAAGATACTTTGAGAAAATTTATTTTATTTTAGATCAGTCTGATTCCAAAGGTTGTATTAGAAAGTGTATATTTTGTAAGATTTGTTATTTTAAAGGCTACTTTTGACCCTTTCCTATTTAATAAGTGATGCCAACTGTTTAACAGAATTTAAATTAATTTTATGAGGAAAATGAAGATTTATAGACCAATGAATCGAAAATATCTTGTTAGGCTTGATCTGGAGACTGAACGTATGCTGAAATTGTCGTTATAGATTGAAATTTAACTACATGCTATGATTAAAAAATAGATTTGCTTTCAGTACATGGGAGTTTAGAATTTTGGCATCTTGTGCTTCATTTTTGTGATTTATTTGGTTCTTTTCGAAACACATTTTGTGCTTTGTTTCTAAACGAAGAGGTAAGAGAGAAGGTATCTCCTCAAATAACCCATTTCAGGTATGAATAGCTGTTATTTCCAAAAGATGAAAAGCTAAAATGGCTATATTTTCTTTCTCCAGTTGGTTTTTGAAGTACTAGAGGCATCTTGATGTTATACACAGATTTTTTTTTTTTTTGAACAGGTGTTACATAAACAAGTAAAAGGTTCAAAAGGTACCGGTGTATTTTGAGTAGAACCAAAACCTCCTTTCCATGGTCCTTAAAGTGTTTCTGTTCTCCAGGAACAACTGAAGTTAGCAATTTCTTGTGTATCTTTCCAGATAGAATCTATGCAGCTACAAGCAAATATTTGCTTACATACATCCTGCTTTGTTTCTCTTTATTTTTATACAAACGAGGCACTCTCTACAACCAGCTACACCTTGCTTTTCTCACTTCCTAATAGACCTTTGAGATAATTCCATTATTTAGGCAGTTTGTGACTGACAAGACATTTAGGTTGTTTCTGACCTTTAGCTATTACAAACAACACTGCAAGTAGACCCCCATCTGCTTACCACTTTGCAACTGCACAAATACATAGTAGGATGACTTCATCTTGCTGGGTCAAAGAGTGTCTTAGTTTGCTAGGGCTGCTGTAACAACGTACTACAGACTGAATGGTTGAGCAACAGAAATTTATTATGTCACGGTTCTGGAGGCTGGAAGTCTGAGATCAGGTGGGGCCGGGTTGGCTCCTTCTGAGAGCTGTCGGAGAGGATCTGTTCCAGGTCTCTTCCGTAGCTCCTGGTGGTTTGCTGGCACTTTTGGTGTCCCTTGGCTTGTAGCTGCCTCACCTCATCTCAGCCTTGATGTTCACATGGCGTTCTCCTTGTGTGTGTGTGTCTATGATGTTCACATGGCGTTCTCCTTGTGTGTGTGTGTCTATGATGTTCACATGGCGTTCTCCTTGTGTGTGTGTGTGTCTGTGTCCACATTTCTCCTTTTTATAAGGGTAACAGTCATGTTGGATGAGGACCCCTCTCCACTCCAGTGTGACCTCATCTTAACTAATGCCATCCGTAATGTCCTGACTTCCAAATAGGGTCACATTCTGAGGTACTGGGGATTAGGACTTCAACGTGTGAATTTGGTGGGGGGACACAATTCGACCCATAACAAAGGGTATGTGAGTGCTGACCTTTAGAAGAATATGCTAAATTGCTCTTCGTAGAAATTGTACCATTACCTTCCCACCAGTAATGATGAAAACGGCCCATGTCACCATATCCTTGCCCCACCATGGTCACCAGACGTTTTAATCTTTGTCAACCTAGTGGATGAAAAATGGTATCTCATTGTATTTCACTTACTGCAAGTGAGGATGAAGTTTCTTTCTTCTTACATTTGAGACCAATTTGCATTTTGGGGGCTGACTAGTTGTTTACGTCCTTTGCCTATTTTTCTATTGAATTATTATTTTTTTTTTTTTGCGGTACGCAGGCCTCTCACTGTTGTGGCTTCTCCCGTTGCGGAGCACAGGTTCCGGTCGCGCAGCCTCAGCGGCCATGGCTCACGGACCCAGCCACTCCGCGGCATGTGGGATCTTCCTGGACCGGGGCACGAACCCGTTTCCCCTGTATCGGCAGGCGGACTCTCAACCACTGCGCCACCAGGGAAGCCCCGAATTATTGGTCTTTTATCCTTACTGATTCATAGGAGCTTTTTAAAGATAAGGGAAATTAGCTCTTTGTGATAGATTTCAAATATTTTCCTTTCCTATTCAGCTGTCATTTGACTTTGTATGTGTGTTTCTTTTTTCTTAACTCAGGAAAAATTTTCAATTTTATGTAGAGAAACAGGTCATTTTCTTATATGGTTTGGGGTTTTTCTGTGATATGTAAGAAGGCCTCCATTCTTAACATTATGACACAAATACGCCCATTTTTTTCCTGACACATTTATGGTTTCTTTTCTTTCTTTTTTTTTCGGTACGTGGGCCTCTCATTGTTGTGGCCTCTCCCATTGTGGAGCACAGACTCCGGACGCGCAGGCTCAGCGGCCGTGGCTCATGGGCCCAGCCGCTCCGCGGCATGTGGAATCTTCCCAGACCGGGGCACGAACCCGCGTCCCCTGCATCGGCAGGCGGACTCTCAACCACTGTGCCACCAGGGAAGCCCGATGGTTTCTTTTTTTTTTAATGTATAGTTTAAAAAAAAAATCTGTTGGAAGGAGTTCCCTGGTGGCCTAGTGGTTAGGATTCCAGCTTTCGCTGCCATGGCCTGGGTTTAGTCCCTCGGTCGGGGAAGTGAGATCCTGTAAGCTGAGTGGCACAGCCAAAAACAACAAATAAAATAAAATAGGTTGGAATTAATTTTGGCACAGGCATAAGGTAGGGACCCAATTTAGTTATCCTGGTGGATTCTTGGCCGTCCCAACAGTATTTATCAAATAACGTGTGAAAATTATGATCAGATGTAAGCAGTGTGTAGATAGGAGGAATTTACAGAAATATGTTCATTAACTTTTTTCCCAATTAACTTGTATTTCAGCATCAAATTTTGTTTTTAAAGATTTTTGTCTTTAACCAGTGATCTATGATGGGTATAGACTAAAAATTTGTTATTATACTAAAAATAATTTTAAATTGTTTCATAGGCAAAGCTACGCCAGGGGCTGGCAGTGTTCAGCTAAGTGATAAAAGGGCTGAGTAACTGCGTTTGACAAGCACTCAGTCAATCAAGCAATGCCCTTTAAACAATTAATACAATGTATTTTTTTGGGGGGCAGCGCTGCACTGCATGTGGGATCTTAGTACCTGGACCAGGGATCCAGCCCTGTGCCCCCGGCAGTGGAAGTTCAGAGTCCTAACCACTGGACTGCCAGAGGAATCCCAATACAAAGTATTTCTTAACTGATTAAAATACAGAAATTGAAACATAACCCAGTGCTGCATTTACAGACATGAATCCCCTGGGAAAACTCCTCAAGCCCTTGTTGGTTCATCTGAGGGGGTTAAGAGTTTGAATCCCAACTTCACCACCTCCCAGCCCTGCAACCTGGGGTAACTTGCTTGACATCTGTGTACTGCATTTTTCTTCATCTATAAGATGGGGAAAGCAATAAGAGAAGGTTCTGTAGGGCCTGAAGTTTCTGCAGTTTGTTGGGGGGGGGGATCTTAAAAATTACAAATGTGAAGTGAAGCACTATCCCTGTAGGATCTGGGGAGAGCCTCTCACTTGTAAGATTAAAGCTCATTAGCTTTACCACAGACGAAGCTCTGAAAATAGCGTCTTTTTCAAGGGCTGTTGGGAATACGGAGTGAGGCCATGTGGCTGAATCATCTGGCTCTGGTGTGTGGTGGGCCTGACTCCCAGACTACTAATCAGGTGTGTAAGAAACATCACTTTCTTTATGTATAGAAACCTACCTGAAGTTCTGACGCCAAACCCCCAATTCCACAGAGCTGGCAAACACCTTCACTTCAGTCATTCTTGAAGTTTTTAATCCACTTTGCTCTGAAGGCATGGCGGGGGGCAGAGGTCCGCTTTTCTGTGATCATCATTTGTCTTTGATCATCTGTACCCACACAGACACCTATACAGACACACAGACACACACACGTCATGATGGAAGCATCTGGTATTCCTTTCTGAACTCCCCTTCAACTCGCAGCTCTGTACTGTTTCTGATCCATGCGTGGCACTTGGGGATCTTTGAGGGGTGCCCCAGGAGTGCTGTTTAGCAACTTGTAAGAAGACTGCTGTTGGGGGCCCAACGGCTCTATTCCAGATCATATCTGAGGGAGGCAATGAGCCGCTGTGGCTAAAAGCATCGGATTGGGTGCCAGACAGAACTGGATTCTAATCCTGCAAAGCCTTGTTTTCCTCATCTGCAGAATGGGGAGGATGATAATAATTCCTCCCTCATAGAACTGCTGTGACTAACATCGAGGTATTTGCAAAGGGCTTGGTGTAGTGTCTGACAGGTAGTACACAAGCTCTAGTACTGGAGTTCATCTCTTCACCTTTCATTATTAGACGGGGAAACTGAGTCCTAGAGACACTGGCTGGCTGGGTGAGGTTACCACACAACATTATGTAAATACCTGGGGTGAAGGTGCAGAAAGCATGCTTATTCAATTTGCAGATGACCTAAAACTAGGTATAGCGGCTGGTATTTTAAATGCAAACCAGGGCTCGAAAGCACCTAAAGCAGACGAAATGATAGACTAAACTCCCTGAAGTAAAATGGAATGGGGATGGATGTAAAATGAAAAGATTTTTCGTGAAAAAGGTTTTGGCTGAAGGTTCAATATAATCCCATGTTAAGATGGCTGCCCCCAAACGAATGTGATCTCAGGCTGCATCTTTGGCGGAATAGATTGAGGAGGAGGGAGGTGATAGCTGGAAGGTTGGGTTCAATTCTGGTTGCCATACCTTTGAGCGGACAGGGAGAGACCAGAGGCCAATTTGTGGAGGGCAAAGGATAGTGAGGAATCGGGGATCCTGACTTCAGAGAAGAGAGACTCAGGGGGCAGAGATGGGAGCACCAGTAACCCTGCCTGCTCCACGGGCAGAACGCGGAGATGACAAGGCACTGAGAACCAACTCTGACAGAACTGTCCCACGATGAAAAGGATTGTGTTCATAGGTAGTGAGCATCCTATCACTGGTGGTATGCAAGAAGAATTAGGAAAGGATTCCTGCTTCGAGCTCTCAGTTTCAGCAAAAATGCTAGACCTTACTGATAAAACATCCTTGTTGGCTATATATACACATATTTAGTCAACAAATATGTAGTTCATATTTCCTCTATTTTAAGATGTACTTTTAAGAAATGAATATTACTGGGATTGTCTTACAATCAGTGTGTACACTTAGTGAATAATGCATCCTTTTTTCTGAAAGGTTGTTATTCAAGCATTTTTGAATCAGCAAAATGAAGTGTACAATTTGGGAAGTTGTTCTGACAATCTGTATTTCATCTTACATTTGCCCTATTAGAATGTATGTCTTGAACTAAAAGAAATCTATCTAAATAAATGATGTATATTAAAAAAAAATCCAGCCTTCTCTTCTTAGTGAAGCCATACTCAATCTATTGAATCCAGCGGCTGGTGACATTCCACCTTGTCACTGCCATCCTGGCATCAGAAATGGAACAGAGACGGGCTATTAAAGCGGTTTTAACAAATTCAGAGCAGAAGGTTGTTGGCTGGGGGAAAAAAATTCCACTTATCAAGAGATGTTATTCCTTCAAAGGATGAGAACCTGTTTCTTCATAAAGAGAGTTTGGAGGGAGCTTTTTGTTCTGCGAGGCCAACATCTGGATTTGACTATGTCCGTCCTCAAAAGGAGATTTCTCATAATGGACCGGACTCCAAACAGAGCACAAGGACCGGTGCGTTCTCAAAAGGAGACACTTCCTGAGACTCATGAGGGCCCTCGTGTCTCCGCAGCGCCAGCTCTGGAGGTCGGGGGAGGGCTCCGCGCCCTTGACGTCTAACTTTCACGCTGAAAGACTTTCCGTCACCTTCCGCCTCCCCGCCGTACTCCAGGAATCTGGGACCTGAATTCATTTAAAAACACTTGTGGTTTCAGGAGGCTCTTTTTTATTATAAGGCTGCCAAGGAGATCTTACCATGAAAGACCATTTGAGAGACGAGAAAGAAGGAAGCCAGGCCAAGGCCGGCGCGGGCTGTGCGGTGGGTTTGGAAAGGATGCTACGCGGAGCCCGGCCACCTGCGGACCGTGCAGGCGGGTACATGCCCGCTGAGGCGGGTTCGAATTCCGGCCCTGCGGGTCCTTTCCGACGCGACCTTGGGGGAAGTTGTGTAACCTCTGCGCCCCGCGACGCTCTTTCCTGGAGCCCGGAACTGGAACGAAGCCTCTGGAAGCCCTGACATCAGAGGTGACGCGAGTCTTCGCAGGCGATGACTAGGCAAAACCCGTTGCCACTCCCTTTCCCGAGTCCCGGCCGCGTGGCGCGGGCGTATCACCTCCGGCCAGGTGGTTCGGGCTCCTTCAGCAGCTTCTCTACGGCCCCGCACCCCAGAGCCCCCGGGGCCCGCCAGACCCTCCCTGGTTCCTCGGCGACAGCGCCGGGCCTCTGATAACACAGCCCGTGGGCTGGGCTGTGGCGCCCCCTCGTGGTGACCGCAGGGAGGCGGGGCACGAGAACGTCATTGCCGCATCTCAACCAAAGGAAGTCCTTTATGGGGTCCAGCCTCGACCTCTCCTGGGGCCGTTTGAAGCCTGAAAGTCAGGTCATATGGAGTCCAACCGTTCCTTTTCGAGGCTGGGCCGGGCCACCTTGAGACCCAAATGGAAGGGACCACCTGGAGTGGGACCCTGCCAGCATTTCCCTGCCGAAAGGGCCCTTTGAGGAGTCAGGCTAAGGACTGTTGTGCTGGGGGTGCATGAGTGGGGATCTCACCTAGGTGTGGGAAGGACAGAGGGGCCCCCAAAGGAAGGATCGTAGCTTAGGGTTTTTGAGAAAAAAATAAGGACTGGGAGCGGAGCCTGTGCCTGAGGGAGGGTTTTGGTGTATCCCCCAACTCACTGACCTGGTCAGCTTCCCCCGACCTTCTCCTGGGACAGATTTTATCAGTGTTTCAGCAGTATCGGGGAAGGGCCTCAGCGAGCCATTTTTCTTAATAAAGAAAGCAAGAGGGACTCAAGTTAAAGCACCAGGCAGAATGTCTCAATGATGAGAGATGTTGAACCTCAGAAAAGAAAGCAGAGGGGGGACTTTCCCATTGAGACGAGCCCCCAGGTGAATGGGGTGTGGACGAAAGTGAGGCGGCCCCGGAAGCTCCCTGTCTATCCCGAAGGGCCTGTGCCTAGGGTGAGTCCTTGGGGTCCCAGGATGGAAAGACCTCTTGTGAGGTTCTTGGTGGCTCTGGCCCTTGGGGATGGGGTGAACCTGGGCAGGTGAGGATGGGCAGGGGGAGAAATCGAGGTCCAGAGTCATTGCTGCCCCCATCCCGGCCCACTTGGCAAAGTCATCTTCTTTCACCGCTCAGCTTGCCTCTTCTCTGGACAGTTCCTGATGCCCCTGAGAGGTCCCGCTGCCCCCCTGTCCCCCAGGTGCTCCCATCACTCCTGTCCTATGATGGTGGGCTCCAAGCCATCCTGCCCTCTGGGCTGTCGTGCTCCATCCCGGCTCTCTCCTCCAGCACCCAGCATGCTGTCCAGCACATCACCAGTGCTCAGTGAATATGTGATGACTTCAGTTGATTTGGGAAGGGCTCCAGGTCCACCTTGGCTTTAGAATAGATTTGGACAGGGGGAGAGGGAGGCTTGAGTGGTGGTGACCTGGGTTGTCCCTCCTCTCTCTGAACTGCCCTGTTTCAGACTCTGAGTCCCCAGGGAGGGTTACTGCCCCCTCCATTTAGACTCCCTCCTCCCACTGCCTTAGGATCCCAGCCTGTCCCCCTCCTCATCCAGCTTGGCCTCTGATTTCCCACGCTGGGCCCATGCCCCCCACGTGGCTGCCCTACTCACCCCGAGCTGCCCCCATGTGTGGCTGCCCCCTTAACCCCTTTGTGTTCTGACACTCCAGGCCAGGCTGTCCCTTTGGGATAGACACTCTCCCCACCCTGCTGGGGCTCTGACACCCTGTGCGAGGCTGCCTCCCCCAACGTGGACCCCTCCTCACCCTGCTGTGACACCTCCCTCCTGTCTGCCGTGGTTCCCCTACCCCTATGCAGATGTCTCCCTTGCTCTGCTGCCCCTGATGGTTTTAGGACTGAATGGTTCCGGAAGGAAGGAAGAGAAGAGGAGGAGCAGAAAGAGTATTTTAACGGTGGAAATTTCTGTGCAAGCAAAACCTTGGAAAGAATATATAAAATAGAGCTACTCTGGTTAAAGAGAGCGAGAAGGGGGGAAGGGGGGAGGAGGGGAAGGGGAGGGGGGAGGAGGGGAAAGGGGAGGGGGGAGGAGGGGAAAGGGGAGGGGGCAAGAGTGAGCCTGGAGCCCCACCCACTGGGTCCCACTCTCTCAGAACCGTCATTAAATCCTGCCGGGGGTGGCAAGTGGGAGTAGGGAGGTGCTCCTTGGTGCCACTTTGCAGCCACTAAGATGTCCTCTCTGAGCTTTTCTGAGAAGGCAGCTCCTGCAGTCAGAGGGATGGAGGTTGCTGGCAGCCATTGCTGCTGCCTGGAGGATGGGTCTCTGAGGGGCCAGGGGGCCCTGGGCAGGTGCTGGGGGCCTGTGGGTAGTAGGTCAGGCTCTGCAGGACACAGTGCTGTGAGTTACAGGACTTCTGCGTGCCAAGGCACTGGGCCAGATCGCCCCTTCCCCATTTGTGCCCCTTTGTGACCCTCTCTGTCCCAATCTCTGGTCACCTCCAGGAAGAGAACCTGGAAATTCTGCTTCGGTGGCTGAAGTAGATGTCACTGACTTCCCGATGGTCAAAAGTGAGCAACACTTTACAGTTTATAAAGCAGTTTCACATCCATTCCCTGGTTTGATTTGATCTTTGCAACTGTTGGTAAGGATAGCGCTGTGGCTAATCCCTCCACCCCCAACTGCCTGGAGAGAAGAGGAAGTCGAGCATCAGGAGTTGCGTAAATTGCCCTCAGCGGCGAGAGGAGGCCGGAGTCCCAGACTCCATTTCCAGTGCCTTCCGGGCACCCTTGGCCTTTCCCCAGCCTCTCCCCACCCGGACTCTTCATCTCGCTGATTGAGGTAATGAGCTCCTTTAGCCCGAGCCAAGTGTGAGGTTAGGCTTCCAGGATAGGACTCTGTAGTCAGGCAGAAAACAGGTCAAGGGTCAGGACTTTTTCCCCAGAACCCCGGGGGGCAAGCTCTGAGCCCCCCTCACTGGTGTGGGGGATTTGGAGTAGGATGACCATATAATTAGTCATCCAGATTAGAACACTTTAGAGAATGAAAGGGAGCGCTATTAGTAATGACTCCATGGCTACAGCCGTGAACAGGGAGGTGAGGTCACTATTATGATATCACCTGCCCAGCCCCTTCTCCACCTCCACAGCCTCGGACCCCCAGACCTGATGCAGAACATCGGCCATTTACTGGGCATTTAGCAGTGCTGGACACTCTGTAGAGCTTGTTGTATTAGATTTCCATGACAACGTGTGGCTGATCCACTTATTGTTCCCATTTTATTAATACAGAGACTGAGGCCCAGAAGACTCTTGCCCAAGAACACACAGCTGGTAAGTGGTGGAGCTGGACTTTGAACCCAGGGAGCCTGGCTTCCCTTGATAGGATTATAATAACATTTTTTTTTTGCAGTACGCGGGCCTCTCACTGTTGTGGCCTCTCCCACTCTCCCATTGCGGAGCACAGGCTCCGGACGCGCAGGCTCAGCAGCCATGGCTCACGGGCCCAGCCGCTCGGCAGCATGTGGGATCTTCCCGGACCGGGGCACGAACCCGCGTCCCCTGCATCAGCAGGCGGGCTGTCAACCACTGCGCCACCAGGGAAGCCCTATAATAACATTTTAATGAATTTGTTTGGCCTGCAAGAATTGCCATGGGGGCTTCCCTAGAGGCGCAGTGGTTAAGAATCTGCCTGCCAATATAGGGGACACGGGTTTGAGTCCTGGTCCGAGAAGATCCCACATGCTGTGGAGCAACTAAGCCCACGTGCCACAACTACTGAGCTTGCGCTCTAGAGCCCGCGAGCCACAACTACTGAGCCTGTGTACCACAACTACTGAAGCCTGTGCACCTAGAGCCTGTGCTCTGCAACAAGAAAAGCCACTGCAATGAGAAGCCCGTGCACTGCAACGAAGAGCAGCCCCCGCTTGCCGCAACTAGAGAAAGCCTGCATCCAACAATGAAGACCCAACGCAGGCAAAATTAAATAAATTGAAAAAAAAATAAAAAAAGAATTGCCATGGAATGGGGTTTCCCAATCTTTCATCAGATCTCTTCACCCACCCCCGCCGCTCCTCCCACCCCCCAGTCTCTCTTAGCTGTCTTTAGCTCAGGGACATCATTAAAAGGACCTTTGAGTGGTGAGGGGATGTGTAGATGAGGAAGGGAGCAGGGAGTGGAAGAGTAGCGGCAGGATGAGAGTAGTAAAAGCTACCATTAATTAAACACTTACTGCATACCAGTCTCTGTTTTAAGTGTTTTCAGTGTATTAACCTGTTTAATCCTCACAACACCCCTATGAACCCCAAGTAACATTATGATTCCCATTTTACAGATGAGAAAACTGAGGCCACTTGCCCTCCATTATGCAGCTGGTAAGTGGTAGAGCCAGGGCCACCCAGTTGGCTTCACCATCGTGCAGTTTGTCCTTGAGGAAGAGGATGCTGCTGGCCCAGTGGTGGAGTCCCTCTAGCCTGCTTCCTCTAGGACATAGAACCTGGAAATTCTGCTTTGGTGGCTGAAGCAGATGTCACTGACTTCCTAATGGTACTCCTGAGCCAAGTGAGCAGCACTTTGCAACTTTCAAGGACGAGGGAGTCCACGGTCTGGCCTCTTGGGGGCGCCAGCCAAGGGTGTCCAACTCCCTCTTTCGCTCCGCCATCTCCCTGCAGGGGCGCAGGCGGGCAAAAGTGGAGCCTGATTCCCGCCGCCCTCCGCGGCAGCTCATTTTTCATTCATTTTCTTTAAATGCTTCTTGCTCTGTTTTTAAATCTAATTTTTCAGCTTCTTTTTTTATCTTCACTCAAGTTGCTTTAATGAAACGAAAACGTGTCTGTTTCCCTCTGCTGGAGCTGCCTGGGGAATTTCAACATAAAACAAACAAGTTGGCTTTTAAAATTAAAATTTTATGGGTGGCATTTCCTCATTTAATGGGAGGCACAAAAGGCTGGAGCAAAACCAGTTAACACGGGGTTGGGACTCGGTGTTCAGCAAAATTAAGCAGCAGGAGCACAGTGTGCTGGGAGCCGCTAGCTCCGGGGGGCTGGGCGAGATGCGCAGACAGGTGACGTGGAGGGCGGCGGCCGCCCAGCACCACTGTGCACCCCGGACGGCCCCGCACACGTTTACATGCAGCCCTCACCACCCCATCCCCTGCCCCCAGGACCCCATGCCCAGGTGCCTGTGTGCACACCTGCTCTGTACATTCAGATGGCAGGCGATTGTGTGGATGAGCAAACAGGGGTAGGGAATGGCTTTGGAGTCCTGGGGTGCTGGACACCGAGTCTGGAGAGGTATCCGTGAAAGAAGCTAAGGTCTCTGCAAAAGCCAGGATTCACTCAGGAATTAACGCCCCCGGTACAGTATGAGTCCCATCCTGTCTTGATCACGGCTGTGCCCCAGGCCTCAGACAGAACCAGGAGTGTGGTAGGCGCTCCACAAACACACGATGACCCAACGAATGACTTCGTTCGGGGGAACTCAGCAGTGGATCACTCAGAGTCCTTATCACCAACCATAGGACCCTGTTTTTTTTTTTTTTTTTTTTTTGGTAGAAATGGTGAAAATGCTACAGGATCCAAGGAGGGAGGGGCAGTCGTGGTGGGATCACCATCAGAGAAGGGCTTTGTGAACCCAGCAAAGGCAGAGTGAAAAGGCAGCCAGCCCAGGGGTCTGGCAGGAGTAAAGGCCTGGAGGTGAGAGGTGGACGTAGCTGAATCTGGCCAGAAAGTACGGTGTGTGCAAGCAGAGGACTCTGGAGAGGTCAGAGGCAGCCAGGTTGTAAAGTGTGGGATGAGGAGCTTCGTTGGACTTTATCTCATGGGCAGTGGAGACCCACTGCAAGTTCCAAAGCAGATTGATATGCTCAGAGGTGGTTTCTGGGAGACTGATTCTGGAGGCTGGTAGGAGGGAAAGGAAGAGTCCAGCCTGGTTGGGGTGGCATTGGTCCAGGCTGAGCTGAGGGCCTCAGGCTGGGTGGTCAAGGGGATGTGGGACCCTCCTGTGAGCCAGGGAGCCCTGGAGGAGGAGCAAGTTGGGGAAGTGGAGGTATTCAGTGTGTCAACGCCAGCTCACCCGCAGGTGTGGACCAGCCTGTGCTGACGACACAGGAAGTAGATTTCACACTGACATTTACAACCTGATCCTGTAAGTACTGGGCCTGGTGCCACAGCCCTGGGAAAACAGGCCTCATAGCTTCAGAGAAAGGGCCTGGGAGACCTCTTCTGCTTCCTTGATCTCCATCCCGCCCCCACCCCCTAAGTGACTCTTTCTATCCTACAATGGGGCAGATTTCTCCCCATCCCTTCTGCCCTCTGACTCTTGATTCTGCAGAGAGGACCACTCTGGTTACTAGGATCACCAGAGCGGCAATAAGACGGGGAAAACCGAGTGTCCCACCTACTCTGAGTTAGGAAATCTAGCTGGTCACCATGACCACCACCAGCAGCCTTAGAGTCTTCCCCAGTCAGGGCTTCAGACCCACAGATGCACTCCTGGACAGAGTCCTGCAGGCCTCAGACAGACCTCCGGCTGGGATGTGGGCAGTGGGAGCTGGGTCCTGGCTCTCTTGGGAGGGTGTCTTTGAGGGAACATCTGAGGTTGGAGGAAGGGGCTTCCTGATACAGGTCTGTGCTCTGATCTGTGCCCATCGAAGGGTCGCATCTGAGGCGGGTCTGAGGATCCAGGTGAGAGTCTCTTTGAGACCAACTTGAGAAGCCTGAGGTTTATTTGCAAGTATCTTTGAGGCCTGTTTGAAGGTCTAAGGACTGGGTTGGCCTGAGGGCCAGTAGCATGAAACCAATAAAAATGTCCCAAGGCTAAGGCTGATATGACCCTTCTCCCTCCATATAACAAAGAGAGTAAATCTGGCCACGTTTGCAGCGGGTTCTTATGGCCAGGGGGCTGGTGGAGAGGCTGTCTTTCCTTTGATGATGGATGACGTTTACCCCAAACCACAAAACAGTTGGCCAGAGACCCCGTTCTATCCCAACAACCAGCTGGCTGACCTCGACACATCTGGCAAAGACAATACACTTCTTGAGGACCACACCACCTGCCCATCTTCCGGGGAGAGAGACACCATGTGCCCTATCTGAAATGGGTTTTTAAGTATAAATAGTGGTTCACCTGGTGAGCAAGGTGAGAAGGACCATATCGACTGAGTGACACAGGTGAAGACACGGAAATGTGAAACAGTTTTCTGTGGGCCAAGAGAACTTGCAAGAGCTAGCGTACGAGTATCACACAAAATAAACTGAGAGAGAGCTCCTTGCAAACTGTTGAGTGCTACACAACATGAGGCCTTGCTGTTACCACCCATCTCTCTTGTTTATCACGGGAACCGAATGAGTCAGTGTGTGAAGTTGCATTGTAAACTGGAAAGCATGAAAATGTTAATTAATATATTTAGAGAGCAGAGAAATTAAGTGTGAGAATGTGGAGATGGAGTAGACAATTAAAATATCTGCTAATTTCTCTCTTGAATTCACATTTGAGGCAATGCTTGTAAACTGAGAATTATAATTACTTTTCTCCGTCACACCTCTTTTCGGATGAATACGCTGTGAGAGGATTATAGTAGCTATTAAAAACACTGTCAAGTTCCTGGTAGATCAGTTGGGACTCTTTATATAGCAAGTACCAGAAGACCCAGCACACACTGGCTTACCCAGTAAAAGGAAGGTGTAGTTTTTATGTGATGTGAAAGTGCAAAGGTAGCATGAACTTCAAGATGGGTTTGATCCAGCGTTTGTTAATCCTGATGCTCAGGCTTGTTTCTCCACGTTGGGTACCAACAGTTCCTAGGCTTCTTCCTCCAAATGCTGGGAGAGAGAGAGGGGCGTCCCTTCAGCCAACCATCCAACAGAGTTCCTGAGCTTCATGTCTGATTGGACTAACTTGGGTCATGTAGATGGGGAATGCCAGGGTCTGTTTGGCATAGGTCTGGATCAAGTGTCCATCCCTAAAACAATCACTGTGGGACACGAGAAGGTAGAATGGACCCCCACCATACCTGGGCACTCAAGCGGACCACGGGGCTTCAGGCGTGCAGACCTGGAGTCATGTTGGTTTCTGCCCTCATTGCTGTTTCAGCGTCTAAACTCTCTCTTCCCTGTATCTCCTCCTTTGCAGGCGTGATACTGGTCCAGGTCTTGTCCCATGACCCCACATTTATTTTTATTTTTATTTTGCGGTACGTGGGCCTCTTACTGTTGTGGCCTCTCCCGTTGCGGAGCACAGGCTCCGGACACGCAGGCTCAGCGGCCATGGCTCACGGGCCCAGCCTCTCCACGGCATGTGGGATCTTCCCGGACCGGGGCACGAACCCGTGTCCCCTGCATCGGCAGGCGGACTCTCAACCAATGCGCCACCAGGGAAGCCCGACCCCACATTTAAATTACTACCATTGTGGGGTTTTTTTAGCTGCTTACTCAGTCCCTAGCCTCTTTGCTTGCCAGTACATTTTTCTCGATAGCTGCCCAAAACTTTAATCATAGAAAAGAACACATATTATAGCCGATGTGATGAGATGGGAAGCATGATTACAGAATTTAGCTATGGGAAAATTATGATCATTTGCCAAAGACCCAATTTTATCACTAGAAAACCCAGTAAAATTAACTCAAAACAATTAATTATGGCAAATAAAAGAGTTTTGTGAGATGTTGGAAACAAAATAAGAAAAAAGCTCTTTTCTATAACAACAATAATCAGTTTAAAAATATTGTAGCAGATTACCTGGAGAATAGGGTTTTTACTTTTTTTTTCTGTAACTTCGTGAGGAAGCACACTTGGGGATAGTTGGTTTCTGGAAATCAAGTTGGTTTCTAGTGGTGGAGATGCACATGACCTTGAATTAGACCCCTCCCCCCACCCTTTTTAAGAATATCACCAGGATGGATCCTTTATACAAGTAAGGCAAATACCACCTGTTTTTCTAGGAAGAGGGCTGGAAGAAGGAATCTAGGTGCAGGAAGGCAAACCAAGATGGTAATTATTCTGTGTTTTTTTTTTTTTTTTTGCGGTGTGCGGGCCTCTCACTGTTGTGGCCTCTCCCGTTGCGGAGCACAGGCTCCGGACGCGCAGGCTCAGCGGCCATGGCTCACGGGCCCAGCCGCTCGGCGGCATGTGGGATCTTCCCCGACTGGGGCACGAACCCGCGTCTCCTGCACCGGCAGGCAGACCTCCAACCACTGCGCCACCAGGGAAGCCCCAATTCTGTTTTGTAATGACTGCATTTAAGTGGTTTGCTCTAGATGTGACCTGGTTTTATTGCCTGGGCTAGGAGCAGAGGGGAATAGGGATTTTCAGGTGGAGAGAGAGAGAGAGGGAAAGAGAGAGAGAGAGGAAGAGAGAGAGAGGAAGAGAGAGAGAGGAGGGGGGAGAGAGAGGGAGAGGGAGGGAGAGAGGGAGCGGGAAAAAAGAGGAGGAGAAGAAGGGGAAGAAGAGGAAGAAGAAAGAGGGGGAGGGGAGCCAGGAAAAGGAGGACACAGTGAGGTGACAAGCAGCCCCCCAGGACTGTCTGTGGAACATGTGAGCCTCTATCTAGCTTCCCCAGGTGCCAAGGTACAATTCT